AACACACTCACACACGCACACACACACACACACACACACACACACACACACACACATACACACACACGCACACACACACACTCACACACACACACAAACACAGTTTTCCTGTAGCCTTTTCAGGCTACTCTAGACAATAATAACATAAAGCTCTCTTTTGGAATCTAGCCACATTTAGAGTTTTTACTCATACACTCATAAAGATTCCGGTAGACACAATTGCCTAAAATACCTGAGGCCACATAGTGTGAGCTGAATGCATAGAACAATAAACTTTATGAGTCACTTTACAGTAATTTTGCTGGGAGTACTATAGTGCAGTCAAAATTCATAAAGCAATTTATCCTCAAATATGTCTTTAACGGGTGAATCAATATCAACCATACTTTGTGAAACAGTTTTTACCAATTTGTCTTAACTTAACCATATTTTTCCACTACAATTAGATTTTTAAAAACATTTTTAAAAAATAAAATACTATAAATTTCCACCACGCGCAAAATGGGGTTGTTCACAGCACTTTCTGCTTCTTACACACATTTTGCATACGTTAATATGCCCTACATTACAGCTTCTCAAAGACACTTTTTAGTAGCAAAACTTGTTACCAAAAAATGAATTTTATAATGAAAACTTTGTTTTACTCTAAAGATTCTCAAAACAGGCGTTCAATAAACATAATGTCTCGATCAGAAAAAAAGACTTGATTTTAAAATGATATTGACCCAGCTGTAAACCTTTCAAAAATTGTAGAAACCACCCACTGGATTTTGTAAAATTATTACTAATTAAGGCATTTTCTAGAATACAGCTAACAGGTGTTTACAAAAAAATATTGATCTTTTAAGACAAATTGATACAGTGTGTGATACAAGTCATTGTGCAAATGGTGGAGAGTCTATGCTCAGTAGTTTAGGAAATATTTGACAGCTAGTTGCACACGAATTTTTTACCACATTATAGAGCAAGTTTAAAACCAGATCCCGGACACAAAACTGGGCTTTGTTTCTGACGAAGGTACCCATTTCGCAAAGGATTTTAACAAAATAAAACACGAAAAACTATGTAAATATCAGGAAGAGTGATACATTGATTGAAAAGATTTAGAGAATTGTAACGTATCTTTACTTGAACCAAAACACTGCAATGAGAATCGAGGGAGAGTAATAACGATACTAAGGATAAATAGCATTAATATGTATAGAGCGAATCCCCTTTCAATAGCAAGCTCTATGCCCTTCGCTATCTATATAACTAAGAATATTTGCAGATTAAAAGAGATGTTCAGCAAACATACACAGTGGAAACAGAAATAAAGAAGAAAGCTCAGATCCCAAATGAAATAGACAAGATGCTGATAAAATCACATAATTATGCATATTATGACAAAGTTTTGACTACAGATTCAGAAAAAGGACCTTCAATTCCTGTTTGATACTGTTAAGACGGAAAGTGAACGTAAGGTGTCATAAAGGTAGACAAAAATAGTAATACCTTTAAAAAGCCCTGCAAATCCTATTTATAATCTAATAAGCAAAGATGAACAAAAAAGTTCATCAATTTAAATATTTAAAATGTAGTATTATACACGATATCAAATGCACCATAGAAGTTCAACAAATAATTGCAATATAATAGATAAAGTTGTTTCCGTAAAATAAGTCCAATCCTGAAAAACAGAAACATGTCAATTACAATAAAAAGATAAGAGTTATAACGCCTTTACGCGGTAAACGTTTTTCCATACAGCTGTGAATACAGGATACAAATTACCAAAGATAGAGAAAAGAAGCAAGAAGCAACAGAAATGTTGCTTCTTATGAGACGGTTAAGAAATTCAAGAAAGGAAGAGAAATCAACTGGGATAGCACTGAAAGAAGTCTTTGTGGGCTGCGCATTATATCTATTAGTTAAAAACAATTACGAAGAAACTGATGCAGTTTCTGGGATACTTGAATAGACACAATGACCTTTAACATCCTGCTGTCACTGGGAAAAAATGAATGCAAACTAAAAACTACTGGGACAAATGAATGGAGGGGAAAGACCAGGACAATATTGTTTTTTTTTTAAAAGAGCGTTAAACGGGCAGAGAATAGAGTGGTGAACCATTATCGATGGCATTTGTTCAAATCTGGACCTCCATGATGAGGATGATAATAACGACGACGATGATGACTATGATAGTGATGATGATGACGACGAAGGCGACGACAACGACGATGATGGTGATCTTGATCATGATGAAGTTCGATCCATTTCAGGTAGCCACATCATGTAGAGCTGAATATCCCTTCCTTTTGTCTCGTCTCTTTTTACAATAGATAAAGCGACAGCTTGTGATCAGAAATTGCCTGGAGTGGCCAGATTAACAACCACCATATCATTATCATATCATATTACGCAACAAAGCCCTTTGGGGAGGGGGGTGGGGGGTTGTAGGCTGTTTTGTTTTTGTTTTTGCTTTGTTTATTTGTTGTTGTTTTGTTTTCTTTTTGGTTATCGTGGACCAAGTGAGTTGAAAGGTTAACTGCTCCTATATAAAGCTGGATTCTGGCTCTTTGGTACATGACACTCAAAAGTCAAAGTGAGTTCGGTACCTAAGAAATAACGTTTCTTCCAAAAAAATCGGCCTACATCTCTGATCATTTACGGATACAGTAAGTGTTGAATCACACCAATTTTCTACTTCATTCTTTCCTCTTTATTTCTTAAAAGATTCTCGCATTTCTTGCCTGGGTCCTGTAACAATCATTAATACCATCGTTGGCACGCTGTTCTATTGTCTAGAATCAGAAAATAAAAATAATAAATGAGGAGGGAGGAAAAAAAACAGAAATTAAATTTGTTACTGTTATAATGTATCTGTCTTGGGAGGGGGGGGGTTCTTCAACATATAGAATATTTTAATTTTGATAAAATATTTCTCGTGTGCATCCAAGTGATACCACAGATCCAGAATTTGCAATTAAAACAGATTTGAAATGGAGGCCTTGCTTAGTACATCTGAACAGTTGACTGACGATAAATTGTTTTTCAGGACTCCAGCTGTCTGTGTGTTATAGCTTAGGATGATTTAGGAGCTGCTGACTACGATAGAATAAAGCCATTAAAAGTTCTGCAATTGGCGTTTTGGAAGAACTGGCGGCCCTATGGGCGGCTTAGTTTATAATGCCACCGTTCTCTTCCTTCGTCAGATAGAAAAGGGAAAAAATGGTTGCTTTCTTCCTGTTGTGTTATTAATAAAATAAATGCTTAGTCGGTATGCTAACTATCGTGCCTTTATAATTTTGTTAAAAGTAAAAACTAAAAATAAGCAAGTACAGCCGACTAAGGAGGAAATCGTCACTGCCGTTTGTGGCTGAACAGGCACGAGCCTTTCAGCAACAACGACAACAAAAACAACAATAACAACAGCAACAACAACAACAGCAGCCACTGCAGCAGTAGCAGCAGCAACAACAACAACAACAACAACAACAACAACAACAACGACAATAACAACAACAGCAACAACAACAGCAATAACAATTACAATTACAAATTCCTTGATCCAACTCAAAATATTCTTCCCACTCTCCTTGTCGAGTTTCATTTTTTTTTTCTCTTGACATCTTATTTTCGGTCTGTTTCAAAAGTCTTACATTTGTGAAGTTGGAATTCCAGGACAATCATTGGGCAATTGTCTGTTTATGATACTAATTCCAGTTAATTATTTGAATTGAAAGATCTCCTTCTTCCCTAAGGCGGTCATGGTTTGCAAATCACGTTTCTGCTCAGGTGCTCTTTAGTTATTAGTTCGTTTTAGTTAGAGTTTTACGGCACTTGCAACACAAAGGTCATGTAAGTACCAAAGATTAGAGGTGTTACAAGAGAGTAACAAACACAAAAAATGAGAAAGAGAGAGAAGGACGATAGTTTTTTTTATAGGAAAGAAGGAGCAAAACACACCAGAGCACTCGCCAATGATCCACGGGAGCTCTTTAAAAAAGAAATCTGTATTAAACTAAAAAGTGAACCTCATATGACCTTAATATTATGCTGTTGCCAGCGCCGTAAAACCTCTACTAAAACACACAAAAAGTGAACGTTGCCAAGACTCGAACCTACCACTGTATGCCGCACACCGCGAGTACTGTGCCGAGAAGATCTTGTAAGAGCCGTCATCAGCACGTCCACATTGTCCCTGCATTACCGTGCGCTCGCTACGACACTCTACCCAGAATCCCGTGCCCTCACGACCTGGGGAGAGGATAGATGGATAGATAGATAGATAGATAGATAAACAGATAGATAGATAAACTGATGGATGGATAGATAGATAGATCGATAGATCGATAGATCGATAGATAGATAGATAGATAGATAGATAGATAGATAGATAGATAGATAGATAGATAGATAGATAAACTGATGGATGGATAGATAGATAGATCGATAGATCGATAGATAGATAGATAGATAGATAGATAGATAGATAGATAGATAAATAGATAGATAGATAGATAGAAATGGGTAATTTTACACTTTTAACGCTTCTTGAAAAACAGTAACATTCTTTAAGATGCAGTAACTCCACAGACAGACAGAAAGACAGACAGACAGACAGACAGACAGACAGACAGACAGGTACACTACCAGTGTAGAACAGGTGTAGAAATTAGTGCCAGAGTAGTAACAGATTGGCAAAACTTAGAGCGTTTTGTAGCAGAAATGTCCTAGAAGAAACGCCTTGCTACTGAAAAAAAAAAACTTTTAGAAGAAAAATCCCTCACAATACCCACAAATCAACCACCTGCTCAGAACGGAACTGGACGCACTGCCTAACTATGGAAAGGGTTTATCAAAACCAAACGAAACATTAAAAAAACACAATATCCACAAATCACCCCCTACAACATTTTTCTTACAGAAAGGTCCTGGTAGGAACGTCTAACAACTGAAAAGGCTTAGAAAATAGGAAAAATCAAAACAAAACAAAAACAATACCCAAAACGCACCCACATGGCCAGAACATATTACATTTATTACAAAAAGGTCCTAGAAGTAACGTCTAACTACTTAAAAGGCTTAGAAGAAATAAATTCTTTTTTAAAAAAACAACCAAAACTAAAACAACACCCGCAAAGCACCCACCTGGCCAGTACATGAGTCCGTCAGACTGCCCCTCACACGAGGCATGCTCCGCGAGGCACTGTCGGCAGTTGGGTCCTGAACACCTGTTCTGCGAGTAGTCGCCTGGAGATAGAAAATGCCCTACCTGATACGGGGTGCCTGTTGGGGGATCAGGTCGGGTCGGGTCGGTTGCTAGAAAGATTGAGGGCGTAATGCGGCTATCGTGGCACAAGCCGATCGCGCCCGACTCGTTGCCGCAAAAACAAGCACGTTTGTTTTCAGGAGACGAGTTGGGAGATCGACACGACACGACCCGACCCAACGCGACCTGACCCGATCCAATCCGCTATCGGCACACGGTGTTAGAAATACAAAGTTCTATCTGACATTGTTTGGCCGTTTTGGGTTGCTAAAACCATGAGGATAGAGAAACCACATGTCCTATCTGCTCCATCAAAACCGTGAAAATATTTAGAGTCGTTCGGAAAAGCTTGACTTGTGAAACTCAGTATTTTTTTCGTCAAATTTCTCAAAAGTAGGTACTGAGCAGATAGAACTTTGTAATTCTGGGGTAGTGACTTGAACGGGGAACTTTAGGCTTCAGCAACTAACGAAAAGTTTTACATTTTCAGCTAGACTTATTCGCCCCCCACCCACCCACCCCTTTCCGCCCCCATCCAATACTCCCATCCCTCCCCTCATTTTGAAATAGACCACAGAGCAACGGGACAACTTATTGTGACAACGTGAACTGATTTTTGACGTATTTTCTGTGTTCTGTTTGGGTGGTTTCAGATGTTCACCTCCCTCATCCCGTGCATGTTTTTGGTGTCCGCGTCCTCAGCGAATGTTCTCAACCTCAGCAATGGAGCCATTAAAAAGTTTGTGGATCTCCACAACCAATATCGCAAGGAGACAGGTACGTCTACCCCACTCCGATTTGACTTCGGATATGTTTTACGTCCTTCTCAAACAGAATTCGTTATCTAACCTAAAGAGAAGTGGCGTCGGTGGTGTTCTCGATTGATCGCTATTCGCCCTGCATGTTGGGGACGTTGGTTTGATTCTTGTTTGGGGAAGATGAGGAAAGTCATTTCGTCACATATAATTGGGGTGTGATGAAATGACCGTGCGACGAAATGACTGATTACCAAATGTTTTATTGAACATTAATCGAATGGGTTTTTAAAACATCAACCAGGTTTGTCATTACAGGCAGAGCAAAAGCAGCCCATTCCTAACGTGATCTCAGTTGTGCTTATAGGGGAGTAGAACTTTTGCCGCAAATATCAAGGGGCGTCACCATCCTACCTGTTAGTAAGACAAAGAAATTCATTCATCCGTGAGGCTGACGTTGCTGGTGATGTTGTTGTTGTTACTGTAGGTGTTGTTGCTGTTGATGTTGTTGCTATTGATTATGTTGTTATTACTGTAGAAGCTATTGCTGGTGTTATTGTTTGTTTGTTTGTTTTTTCTTGTTAATGTAGCTTTTATTATTATTATTATTATTATTATTATTATTATTTTAATATTATTATTATCGTTATTATTGTTGTTGCTATCGTCGTTGTTGTTTTCGTTGTTGGTATAGATTGTAATACCCCGAAAGGCCTATTAAAGCTCAGTGTGAAGACAGAAAACGACGTCCCTTGGAAGCCCAGGAAGCTGACAGAAAAAAAGCTCGCCTCAAAGCAAAATTGACTACCACACACAACCGTCTTTAAATCCACACTTTGTGTGTGCGTGTCTGGGGGGGGAGGAGGTGTGTGTATGTATGTATGTGTGCGCGTTTGCGTGTGTATGTGGAAATATGTGTGTGTGTGTGTGTGTGTGTGTGTGTGTGTGTGTATGTGTGTGTGCGTGCGTGCGTGCGTGTGTGCGCGCGTGCGTACGTTTGTAAGGAATAATGTGAAAACCATCAAATAAAAAGTATGTAAATAAGCCATGTGAAGTACGTTAGTTGATAGGACTAATCGACGCATCATTCGATAGCACGGATAAAACCCAATAGATTTGCTTCTCATGATATTCTGTTTCTATAAATAATATACAGTCTGACCTTGGTGGGGCTTTTACTCTGAATAGTACACCCAAACTGGTCCATCTCTGGCAGAGATATCACATTTCATGTTGAGCAGCTGAAGTTTGCGGTGACAAAAAACGTTTGTTTGTGTGTGTGTGGTTGGGTTTTTGTTTGTTTGTTGTTTTTTTACCAGCTGGAAAATTCTGTAGCGTCTCTACTTGTTACATGAGCTTAATCTGACCTCTCCTTTCACACCCAAGTTCATTATTTCATTATTGCCTTTCTCACCCTGCATCAGGGTATAGGCCACGGACAAACACCCCCCACTTTTCTCTATCCTGGGCTAGCCTCTTGATGTTATTCCATGTCTTCCCACTTTTCTGTACATCGATTTCTGTGATTCTTCTCCAAGTTCCACGAGGTCTTCCCCTTGATCTCTTGCCCTGTGGGTTCCAATCCAAAACTTTCTCTGTCTGACTTCCTGAGAGTATGTCCAATCTATCGCCACCGCCTTCTTCCTACCTCAGCTTTGTTCGAAGTGCGATCTCTCTGGTCTTCCAAATCCTATCCAAAGATATGAAAGCAGCCTGTGCTTTTCCAATGCGGGACTTTATTTCAGCACCTGTTCCCCCCTCTCTGTCAATTATGCTCCCAAGATAACAGAAGGATTCAACGTTTTCAAGGGCCTTTCCTTTTATTGTGACCTGCTCCTTTCGTTGTGCATCTGTCCTTAGTACCTTTGACTTTCCGGGGTGGATCCTCAATCCAACAGACTCCGATAGGCTGTTTAATACTGAAGTCTTTGCTTGTATCTGTTCCTGGGTGTGCGACAGAAGCGCCAAGTCGTCTGCGAAATCCAGATCGTCCAACTGTGTCCATGGTGTCCACTGTATACCATTTCTGTGTCCTCTGGTGGTTTCCTTCATCAGCCAGTCGATTGCCAACATGAAGAGGAACGGTGATAGTAAGCATCCCTGTCTCACTCCAGTCTTGATGTCAAAGCTGTCCGTGAGCTGGCCATCACGTACAACCCTGCAACTTGTCCCTTCGTACATGCTTTTGATGAGGTTCACCACACACCCAAGTTACTGAAAGTTTATAATGGCTATTCTAGTGAGTAAAAGGATGTGGTCGGTGGATTTATTTCCTGTTTCTTTTGTTTGTTTGTTTGTTTGTTTGTTTTTATTGTTGCTGCTATTTGTTGTTTATTTGTCTGTTTGTTTGTTTGTTTTTGGGTGAAAAAGATAGTGGTGTGTTTAAGTGGGTGAAATATAGTGGTGGGTGAAAGGTTGTGGCAGTTGTTTGGATGGATGAAAAGTTGTGTTAGTCTATTTGTTTTGGTAAGTGTAGGACTGTGGCGGTTTTCGGATTGCTTTTTGTTTGCGGGGTGGGGAGGGGGGTGTCTGAAACATTTTGGTGGGTGATTCGGTACATGTTTTTGGCTAAGATAGGTGATTTGATGGGTGGTCCTCATGTGTGTCCTTGAAAAAAACAACGATAACCCAAGCTCAAAATCAGGGGGCTAAATCCCAGCGACCAGCAGTGGCGTAATATAAGAAAAGTGTCTTTATTAGTATGATGTAGTTCATAATGTTACGGAAAGGAATTATTGTGCAAATGCATTGCTCTTGCCAATACGAACGAAAATTCATCTCTTGGTACTAGACAGCGATAGGTCTTGTCAATTTGTTTGCGTTTTAGTGCTTAATCGTCTGCTTGCATTGTATGCTTCCTGAGATGCCGAGAATACATCTAAATGATCTTGGGTCTGCTAGGGTAATAATACAATAAGTGCAACATTATCATTATCATTATTATTATTATTATTATCATCTTCATCATCATCATCATCATCATCATCATCATCATCATCATCATCATCATCATCATCATCATCATCGCAATGCATTATTACTTTATGCTTATCAACGTAAACCCCAAATCTTATTACATCTCACCAGGTGCTGGCCTGCCCGATCTGACCTGGTCTCAGGAAATGGCATGTTACGCCGCAAAACTGGCCTCCAAGTGCAAGTTTGCTCACGACCCGGCGAAAAAGTACGGCGAGAACATCTACATGTCCAGCCAGAAACTGACAGACGTGAAGGCCGCCATGGACTCTTCGGCCAGCTGGAGGTCCGAGAAATCGCGCGTGGCCGCCGACAACTGGGACTGCGCCTACGACCTGAGCGAAGCAACGACGTGCGGTCACTACAGCCAGCAGGTGTGGAAAGCCACCAAGGAGATCGGTTGTGGCGTGAGTGTGTGCGACTCGGGCACTATGGTGTTTTGCGAGTACAAGCCGGCCGGCAACGTGAGGCGATACGATCCAGCCACCGGGAAAACTGTGAATACTCCGCCCTACTAGACTCATCACGTACTCGATGTTAATGTGCCCCCGCCTCACTGGACTCACGACATAATGATTATGATGTGTAATCCTTGTTAATGTTCTTTTCTACCAGGCTCGTGGGATGTTGGTTTTTAATATTCCGTTCTTCTAGGCTCAAGACGTGTTAATTTATTTATTCTTCATTCCCTTTCTTCTGGATTCAAAATAATATATATTAGTCGTTAATATTCCTTTTTCTTAGAGTCAAGACGTATTCGTTACTAATGTTGATTTTCCTGCAGAGTTACGGTATGTTCGATGTTAATGTTCTCTTCTACTTTTCGTCAAAACATGTTAATTTATTGTCAATATTCCTCTCTACTTTACATGTTAGTTGTTATTGTTTCTATCTTTTTAAAAGACTCAAGGCATGTTAGTTGATAATGTTTCGTTCTACTAAAATCAAGACGTGTTAGTTGTTAAAGGTCTCTTTCCTTGGTCAAGATATTTGGCTGTTCAGTTTTCTAGCCTCTAGAACTGTCCGATGTTAATGGGCTTTTCTTCTACCGGGCTCATGACCTAGATTCGTTTGGGGAGTTTTCAAGGCTCTTCAAACCATTGATTATTGTCTCGGTCCTGTCTGTGACGAGTGTTCAAACTGGAGTCCCAGCCTTTTGTGTAACCGAAAAAAAGCGGGGTAAAAGTCATCTTCTTGTTCAAGTGTAAGATCTGACATATACTCCAGCGACCAGGATTTGCCACTTATTTCTTAGCTTGGAAGCTTTATTCTTTTTTTTTAAATTCTTTTAAATATATAGCTTATATTATTTGAAAAGCGCATAGAGCATGCCGATGAGCTTGGAAATTATGCGCTATATAAATGCAGTTTCTTCTTCTTCTTCTGCTTCTTCTTCTTCTTCTTCTTCTTCTTCTTCTTCTTCTTCTTCTTCTTCTTCTTCTTCTTCTTCTTCTTCTTCTTCAAATTCTTCAAATTCTTCTTCTTCAAATTCTTATTCTTCTTCAAATTCTTCTTCTTCTTCAAATTCTTCTTCTTCTTCTTCTTCTTCTTCTTCTTCTTCTTCTTCTTATTATTATTATTATTATTATTATTATTATTATTATTATTATTATTATTATTATTATTATTATTATTATTATTATTAATAATATATCATTCTGCTCTTTCCAACAACTTTTCTGTACAAGTTCTTTATGCATGTAAGATAAGATATAAGATTCAGATTGAAAGCACCTCTAAATCTGGATTGCTTTCGGCATGAACGTGATACTGGAATTTTCACAGCGGCAAGAAATGTTCTCTTTCACCTATAAATTGAAATGGGGAACGGGAATTTTGTTGTTGTTGTTGATGGTGGTGTTGTTGCTGTTGTTGTTGTTGTTGTTGTTGTTGTTGTTGTTGTTGTTGTTGTTGTTGTTGTTGTTGTTGTTGATGTTGTTGTTGTTGTTGTTGTGACGTACCGTGAGTACGGAAATTAGCACCGGATTTTATTAATGGTATCGATTATGATGGCTTCAAGTAAGCCCAATAGTGGAAGAAAGATAGAGATAGACCCTAAAAAATTGCAACAAAAATAAACGTTATATGGTTCGACGGATAAAATGGGGTGTAATATTATAGCATATCAAAAATCGACATTTGAAATTGTGAACGAAATTGTCAAATATGCTTAAAAAATTATTGCCGAAAAAGCAAAATTTCACAACCAAATCGGTTTGTTATAGTTGCGTTGTGGAGAATATTTATACATGATACATTTGTACGGATTTACCCGAGAATGAGGTACTCGTCAATGGTATCTGTGCTTTGTTATGTCCATGTCTTGTCAACAAAGTAATAACTCACGTAAAAAAGCATGGAAAGCCAATATACTGAGAATGCGTTTTTCTCTCACACCCTCAGCGAATGTTTGTTTATTGTGTCATTTTCCTCTAGAGAATTGCCCCTTGTGCAATTGACCTAACAAGGTGTGAGTTGTATTCTGGTAGTTGTCCAACATCTTAAAAAAAACACAATATAGAGGTGGCTGAAGGGCACCAAGTGCACATTTCATGTCACCGATCTTATATTAGTGCAAAATCTTTTGCAAAACAAAGAAAGACTAGTCACTGTCCGGGCAGCAACGGGCTGAAATGCAAACTTCGGTTTACTCTCCAAAAGTACCAATTTAGCAACCCCCCCCCCCTCCCCGGTATGTTTGTGATCTGAAAAGAAAACGTTGCTGCCAAACAAAGTCATAGGGGCCTATGATGTCATTCGCGTGCGAACCGAGACCCAAAGTCAAGACACAATAAAGAAAGGACAAATAGACAATGACTATTTTCGGTTGTTTCATTCAGTTGCAACTTCAAAATTTTTAAGCAGCTACCATGTTCTTGTATATTAGACGATGAAACTTTTTATTAAAAAAGTAAAGACATCATTGAGACCTCAAGATGTTCTAAAGCTACATGTTGGTCATTACTTTGCATCCTGTCTGAAATGAATACGAGCAGATCATTGTTCAGGATCTGATGACTATTTTAGAGACCAACTGCATGAGGTGAATCGCACAGTATTTTTAGGGACAACAGTACTGGGGAAAAGAAATAACTTATAGGATGCAAGAGAAAGCATTTGTCAAACCTATACTATTAAACGGCATTTTGAACAAATTTCCTCCCTTCCGATTAATGTCGATTTTTAGTATGTTCTAGAGGAAGGTTTTTGATTTTAATGACACCAAAATCATTGTTGCAATCTCTTTATCTCCATAGTGAAATGCACAGCTAAAGTTATTCACCTACAATGTTAGTGATGTCATAAAACCTGCTCATGTGTATGTGAACTAGCCTCAAGCACAGACAATAGGCCATAACCCACCGTAATTTAAGCGACAGATGCACATTCGCTACCTTAGAAATACAAAGTTCAATCTGACATGTTTGGCCGTTTTGAGTTACTAAGACCATGAGGTCAGAAACCCAATTCTATCTGATCTATCAAAATCGTAAGATTATTCGGAGTTGTTATCAAGGTATTCGAAGAACTGCATTCGAAAAAGCTTGAAATTTTGTGAAACTCAAAAATGTTGACGTCAAATTTCTCAAAAGTAGGTACTGAACAGATCCGCCGTCTTCTGACCAAAAAAACCCCAACCGTATGTGCGTAATTAGGTCAACTAGCTTTATTATACAGGGGAGAAACCCCTTTCCATGTCTCGTTTTTCTATTTTGGCTTCCTTGCTGTACAATAAAATTAAGCAAGGCTTTTGAAAGTATGCCTTGTGACCTAATTACATAATATTATTATGACAAAAGACGTTTTAATCAATTACTCCATGACTATTTACTGCATAACTAAGTAAATCAAACAAAAGTGTTACACAGGCCAATATATAGTGACTTAGAATAATCAGATCGACCAAATTGTTATTTTAGTTAAGTTGAAACACGTACAAAAAGTTTGTTTGGGTTTTTTCTCTCTTTTTAAAATTTCATTTTCGGCCTATATACGTTTTAGCCATGCTTCTCCCTGGCTCTCTCGCCCGCAATAGATATAATGATATATGCATTCTCCTTGTCTCTTTCTTGCCTGTTTCGCCATCTTGAAGTGAGAAAGACGGAGTACAAGACACCGGCGTCTGTGGAATAGCAGCTAAGCGCTTCTCCATTGCAAGCTGAAAACCCGAGTTCGATTCTTGTGTGGGGAGAATTGTAATCTAGTACAATGTATCTCGGTCTTTCTGCTGGGACGTTGTATCCTTCTCAATCCAGGTTAGACCTGACAGGCAGTGTTGAAACCCGCCTCCAAAGTAGCTGAAATTGTGTCGATGCGGGAGTAAAAAAACACTTACATTAAAACAAAGGCGAACTTTGGAAGTGCAAGACTGTTTTGCGTTCATGATTATGGATAAAAGTCCAGACCTTCTTGAATTTTCAGCTAGAATACTTTTTGTTTGTTCTCCAACTAACTCTCTGAGGCGACAAGACATCCTTAGTCTTTCTAGGCATGCCACGAAAGTGTCATTAGAACGACAAATTCGTGCGTAAGTTTCAATCGTCACTTTGTCGAACATTTTACGTAGGTACACCCAAACTTGAACGAATTTACAGACTTGAAAAGGAACAGCACAAAATCGTAATCAAAATTAGATCATCCCTCCAGGAGCACGATGAAAAGATTGTAGACGTGAGAGACTGAGACAAGAGCTCATTTGTTATACCAAATGAATGGACACTCTCTCAAGCTCAGTTTGTTGCTAAAATATCCAACAAGATGTTGCCAGTAAACGTTTGATCCACCACTTCTTTTCGAAAGATTTTAACAGCAGTTTTGTTCTTTAAAAACATTATCCTGATTAAAATTCGACTTCTATCTCTGCGTTGTTAGAAAATGGCAACAGTCATCACCATCATCTTTGCCTTTCTCACCCTGCACCAGGGTATCGGCCACAGACAAACACCTTCCACCTTTCTCTATCCAGGGCTAGCCTCTTAATGTTATTCCATGTCTTCCCACTTTTCTGTACATCGATTTCTGTGATTCTTCTCCAGGTTCCACGCGGTCTTGGAAACAGTACCAAAAGTCATCTAAAATATGATTTTTAAAATCAATAAAATTGTAATGACACCAGAAAATAATCTATTCCCCCCCCCCCCCCCCCCCAGAAAATAACAAACCGCCTTGAAACTAAGCGAACGGAAGAGGTCTATTATTGCACACTTGAAATTATATTACTCGGTACTCATCAAATACACAAAAAGAGAATCAATCCCAGTAGTAAAAATCGGTGCAAACTTCTATGGCATTCGGCAGTACGCCTTAGATGTTTGTCTTAAAAATAGAATCAAGCAAATTTCCGCTTCCTACTGAAATGAATGAATTTGTTTGGGAATTCACAGCAACGAATATTTTGTCGACGTTCAGTTTCTTTGTGTTCAGGTTATTTCTGCAACATCTCTTCTGTCCAAAGGTGAAATTCCTCCAAGCCCCCCCCCCCCTCCAAACCCCTACGCGAACATTTTTACCTTGTACA